GGGCACTTATGTCTTCGAAACCGGTGGTGAACAGTTGTAAAATCTGACCCATCCAACATATTTAAAAACATGTCGCCATTCGTTGTCGCACTGAATGAAATACATGCCCAATCTGATTATAGCACGATATAGATTGAGAAACCGTGAGCAAATCTTACAGCTGTTCTGTTTTTCGAAAAATGTCCCGTACGTTTGCTCAGCGACGGGCACTAATGTTTAATAAGCATAGCAACTGAATCGGCACATGACTTGTTCGGGCAACAACGGTAGACGGTTCCTGCTCGTAAACACGTGACCAGACAGGTAACAGTACCTTATCGGAACACAAGATATTAACTTCCTGCCCGACACCCAAACCCCATACGAATGCGAATATTTGTGCTGTAGCAATCGCAGAGAAATAATTAGATATGTCAACACTTTTGTAGGTGGAAATGAGTTGAGCTGTAGACATTTGACCATTCACAGGCTTAGGTCAACATATTTACCCCCTATTCTCGGAGGAGCAGAAGGCTGTTTGCAGTCCCTTCCCGTTTAGGTTGAAAGAAAATGCACCGGGAGGGGGGGCACTGGGGGGGGGGCTGCCATAAAAAGCACAGAATTTGACTTCGGTCACCTCCCACCGCGGTTTTATAAATCTACCGTCAGACACAGCCCGGACAAAATGACGTCCAGGCGGTGACGCGGTCAGCTGCCCTAGCGCGCCGGTCCCCAATGCCAGCTGACTAGGGGGTGAGGGTGAGACGACAGGGGCGGCTCCGGCGGCGCAGACTGGCATACATGGGTGCACAGCCAGGATTTTGCTGAAGCGCGGGCGAAGCTCGGTGAGAACTCTTCATGAGAAAAATGAAGGTTGGAAATTCGACTTGTTAGGGTATACCGTCTCATCATCATCATCATATGTTCTTCAAGCAAAGACCATGGATCTTGCCACGTCGTCCTAATCCAATGCGTTCGATGATGTTCCACTTTCTAGCAGAAGCTCTCTATGGCGCTAGAACACCATAGTGTGTGTCGCCACCTCTCTCAGCTGCGGCTCTGTTCAGACAGCACAGGTGTGTTACCCAAAGGATCACGAAGCCATGCCACAGGCTGCTGCTTTCGATGCGTTTCCCGAACAAATCCACCAAGCATTTTCCCGATGAAACACGGCCGCGGAGCCGTCAGGAATAGTGCGCCCGACTTTCTGCAACTGTTTGCCCCGTTTCGACTGATAAACTAAACAGATAAGGAGCAGCAAACCGGCCGAAGGGAGCATTACGGTGTCTTGGCGCACTGTTTCCAGTGATGTCCGCGGCCATATTTCACCATCGACCACGGTTTTCCGAGCTCATTACAGTAATGTCCTGCGCTGTTCCGATTGAAACGCTGTTATGCACTGTAAAAGGGAGACAAGTCGCTGCGACGACGCCTTCCATTTCCCACCAGCGTGTTCATTCATGCGAGTGACGCGTGCCCTTGAACAAAGGCGGCATCGCCTCGTACAGAATCGTACGTTTACCCTGGTCAAATGCCGTGTACGAGGCCCATAGAAATGTGTTCGAGACGTGAGTGGGTGTGCGCGCTTGATGTGCTACGCCGACGGCCTCGCCAGCCCTCGAGGCACATACGCCAGTTGGTCCTCACCAGCAGCTCTGCACGGTCAGCGCGTGAGTTGGGAAACAGCACCGCGGCGTTACTGTAGCGGTGCTATGGTGCTCTCCCCTACTGGGGATGGAAAGCACCCGACGTAACCTTCTGCAGCAGCAGAAGGATAGCGGTATCTCGCAAATTCGGTGTTTCCCCCAGAGGCGTAGGCTTACTTTTCTTGTTATTAGTTTCACAGCATTGCTGTGTCCAATGTGAATTTCCACCTTTGCGGATGATTTGGAACATATTTTTGTTGAGAGCTGATTCTAAGCCTTCATTAAATCGTTCCAAATGTGTTTTCATGCTTGTTTCATATGCAGTTATCTTTACAGGCACGGAACTGCGAGATCATTACACTTGTCATAGGTGTAGCGAGAGGAGAAAAAAGGGGAAGAGCTGCTTCCACAGCTTTTAGCCTGAGTGGCATGCATACACCCACGTATGCCTGGTATGGGTATATGCTACGAGGGTATTAATGCCGTTGAGCCGTTCTTTCAAGGGCGGGGATGTTTTGCAATGCACGTGAATGCAGCTTTAAGTGAGAAATAACAGCGATCGTCACAGTAAGTCGCAAAATATAAATGTTATGCGGAAAGTATGGTGCAGTTCTTACCTATTTTTAGTTACGCTCCATAGATAGGAAGGCCAGAAATGATTGGGGTGCCTCGGTTAAACAGCAAATCTATGCTTTCCGTCATTTTGCATACTTGATCATGTGGGGATAACTTTGTTTCTAGGAAACGGAAGCTGCGTTCACAGGCGTACGCACATAGAAGGCCTCTTGGGCACATGCGCCCTCGGCCTCCTGTGCCCTCAGTGGCTGTTTACCCAGTGCCCTCCGTAAGGGATCAGTAACCCTCGCCCTCCCGTGCCCTCAGTGGCTGCCTACCCAGTGCCCTCTGTAAGAGGTCTGTAACCCTCGCCCTCCCGTGCCCTCAGTGGCTGCCTACCCAGTGCCCTCCGTAAGGGATCAGTAACCCTCGCCCTCCCGTGCCCTCAGTGGCTGCCTGCCCAGTGCCCTCTGTAAGAGGTCTGTAACTCTCGCCCTCCCGTGCCCTCAGTGGCTGCCTATCCGACGTCCACCATACTGGATTAGTTACCCTCACTGCCTCCCGCGCCGGCAGGATCGCCGTCATCATGCCTGACTCGGGGGAGCCGACCTGCCTGTACCGGCGGCTGAGCCACCTGAGCTTGGTGCTGTGCGGCTGGGTGACCCTGTCGGGGATCCACAAGCCGCAGCAACCGGGCCGCCCGCGTCGTCTGCTCCGCGCCGTGCCACTCGCCGTGTTCGGGCTCGCCTGCCTGTCCATGCTGCTGATGCCGCTGCAGCAGTTCAGCGCCTGGCTCTGGATCGACGCCGGCACCGTGTACGGCTTCGTGCTGCAGGCGCTCGTCGTCCTGGCCGTCTTCATGCTGCGCCCCGGGAGGTGAGGACGCCACCCGGTGGCCGTGTCCGGCGGCCACACGTCATCAGGCGGTGCTGGACACCGCTCTGTTCCCACGGGCACCATGCAACGCCGACACGTGGTGCGTGGCTGCGTCAGCGTGGCCGATGGTCGGCGCGGAGAACCTGGCTCGATTGTTTGGAAGTTAGCTGTTGTGGCCAGTGGAGACGATGACTTGCTTGCTGCTTAGTATTGAAGCGTCATGTGTATTCCGTCGCAGAAGCGATGCCGCGCGGCCATTTAGACCGGTCTGCTCGATGAGCAGAACTAATCGCATAGCACATAGCAAAGTGGATAACCATAGCTGATCAATGCCCTGAAGGCATGTGGTTCGGTTTGTTGTGTGGCGCATGCGTCCGCTATGAGCACGGCGAACGGAACTGCTGCGACGTGAATCATTGGTGAAAATAGGAACATCGTGTGGCAGCATCGCACAGCCCTACCGCGCACAGCCCGACTAGTGCCCCGCTGTCGCAGGTTGCTGGAGCTGGACGAGGTCCTGGGGGCGCTGCGACGGCGGGCCGGGGCCAACGGCCACCCCGCGACACCCTGGCGCATCCTCGTCCCGTTCGCCGCTCAGTTCACGCTGCTCTGGCTGGTGGCGGTCGTTTCGTGCGTATGCTGGTTTGGGTTTCTGCTGGCGCCGGGGCAGTTCTACCACCCCAACTACCTGATGTACATGTACGTGCCGGAGTTTTTGTACAATCCAACCGGCTACTGGTGCTACATCGCTTACCAGGTAGGATGTCCAGTGGTCTCCGTCCGGAGCTTCCCTGTAGAGCACGGGAATATGTCCGAATTGCCTGGGCCTGGCTCCTTGGGTATGGTCTGGCAGACTCGAAGTCATACGTCTAAAAGAAAGAGCTCTAAATTGTGTTTACTTGGGGTTAAAAACGGTCATGATTGTGTTGCGCAACGGCCAACGGTTTTTCACATCATCGTGTTCGCTACAAAGATAAGCGTGCGTGTACGCAGACATTCACAATGAGGGGCGCAACTCAAAGATGTTCATTGTAAACATATCATTTCCTTGTATAGCGTAAAACAACGTCACATGTTTTCAGTTAGTTTAGTTCACTCTGGTACCTCAAATATGTTAATGTCACCGTGCAATGCACATGCACGCACAGTTTTAAACTGCAATATATTTCATAAGGAAAGGGATGGGGTCACGTGCCACTGGAAGCCACTATGTGTGTGCGTCCCTGAAGGCACTCCCCAGCAGTAAACGTTTGCAGGTGGCTAGGTATGCTCCCTTTCGCTGCTCTGTTGCAGCGGTACATCAGCGTCGATACCTGTTTACCAGCACGCTGTTGCTCAAAAGCGCATATGCGGGCTTTGGAGTTTAGTTTCACAAAATGGATTGGCGAGGGGGCTTAACACTGAAATTAAATCAGCTTAAACAAACATACGCCAAAAACTGATTTTTCACCGGATTGGCATACTTTTCTCTCAAAAAGTTGGGGGTCTGGAGACCGAGGTGAAGGAGCAGCCCTTCCAACTGAAGATGAAGCTACACTCGTGTGCGGCCTTCGTGTTGTTTCCCTGAGTCAGCCGCGGCTCCGGGCTGGCCGGCTGTGCTCTACGCTTTTGTAACGGCCCATGCCTTTCAGAGCACCCTTGCGGTGTTTACCTGCCTGCTGGTTCTTACATTCGACATCTGTTTCTTCATCTGGCTGAACGCCATCAGCTTCCACCTGACCGTCATCAAGTCTATAGTGGACGCCGCCCAGAGTGGCACGAAAGAGGCTCAATCGAGTCCCGAGACCGACCAGCCGCTCTGGACGCAGAAGCAAATCCTCATCGCCGAATACACGGGAGCGTGCGATGGAAGGCCGTCGTCTCCGCCTCCTCCGTCGCCGGGGCGCATCCCGGCGCGCGAGGCGGTGACGCCGCAGGTCGTCGACCGCCCGCCGTCCGGCGCGCCCGACGGGAGCGGCGCCGCTCAGACGACCGCCATGCTCGCCGCCGTCGACGCCTACTACGAGGACGTGAGCAGGTGGGTCGGGCGCTGCCGGGCGACAGCGCAGACGCGGGGAGGCCTGACGTGTGAGCTTGCCGACCGGAGCCGTCGCGCCGACTGCGGCGATGGGTGCAGCGATGGCTGCGTGTTGGCTGTGTAGAGGCCTACTTGTTCGGTTTGCATGTGCAGCAATGTTCTGCAGGTGTTTATGGGTTTAAAAAAATCCCCAAATTAGTGATGTGATGTCGAGAAAATCGTGTTACGTCCGGTGTATCAAAAAGCGAAATGTGATTTACTGGAAAGGGGGAAGGTAGTTGGATTTTTCCTTTGCTTTCAACAAATGCAGAGCAGCCATAAAAGTTTCGTCCCCAAATAAAATCAGTGTATCTATCCGCTTTTCAGATGGAAAACTTATCAATTTTCACCGTTTCTCGGTATTTCAGACAAATTCCGGTTTTGTGTTGTTTTTAAGGAGCCAGGATATGGCTTCATGAAAGGTGGATTACGTTTCAGAAATCTCAGACTGTTTTCTAGTCTATCATAGCTTGGCTACCTGAGGAATTCTACATTATATTTGTGCTAACAGGCGTCCGGGTGGCCATTTGAATGCGAATCGCGTGAGTGGGGGTCAACTTACCATCCTAAGATCTAAAAACCTAAAAAGGTAGAAATGCTGAATTCACTGGGTAGGTATATTTGCATATCAAATCACTTCCGTCAAATTTTGATGTCAATAAGTCATGATCTTCGGGTCAAATATGGTCAAAGCAAGTCAAACTCCAGATTGGTGTGCAAAGGGCCTTCAAACCTCAGTAATCACCTTTAACCCAGGTACCTCTTCTGAGCCAAAGGTCACTGGTGTTAATTTCAGGTCAGTGACTTTGAGCTTTCAAGGTCCCTGTGATCAAACGCCCACGAGAGTATTTTGATGTCTTGCCTTAAATAATCATCAAGTATTACGCTAGGCAGCATGTCCATAAAAACGAAAGGTTGGCCGGGCTCATTTAAGTCAGTCACCACCTATACATGGCCGTCGTGAAGAACAAATAAAATATTTGTTGACGTCGCTTCAATCAAGGAACTGGAAATGAAACAAAATATCTGGTGACGTCTCTATGAGCAAGAAATTTGAGATTAGCGTAAGAGCTGTCTCCTAAAGCAAGTTCTTCTGTAAAGCAAGGTGTTTCTTATTTCGGTCTTACCTTCATACCTAACCCAAGGTCAATGGAATTAGTCGTAATCCTGAATTTAGTCGTCTAGCATGGGCCCCATTGGGCACTGATTTTTAAAAATATTTTATCCGAACCTTTCAAATGAACGGATTTCTGGGATAAGAGCTTACGCTAAGCAGCGCTTGTTGTGTGAGCCTTGATCCTCCTTACCACCCATCCGATCGCGCAATTCCAAGTCAACAGCAGACAGGTCAACTGGCCTTTAGCGAGGCCGCTGCCACCGACCGCGGTCCAAACTTGTCAACGGCGAATACCAAACGCTCAAAGCGACTCAAACCGACCGCGCCACGGCTAGGTGGATCGGAAGGCAGGCGCTCTAACCAGCTCAGCTATCGGAACGGACAATTTGCATGGTGATGGATGCATACATTTATTGATGCATGGAGCGCACACCTGGATTGATGGATAGATACATGTATTGAAGGAGGGAAGAATGCATCGGTTGATGTATTACATGATGGATGGATGGACACATGTGTGTAACCATCATGCAAAGATGAAATGAAGGATGGCACATGAATAGATACATGGTTGGGTTTATGAATGTATACATGTATGGATGGATGGATGGATGGATGTTGTATGAATGGATGGACAAATAGATAGATGGGTTGGATGCATACGTAGATGTGTGCATAGATGGACTGATGGATAATGCATATGATGGATAGATAATGCATAATTAGATACGTAGGTGGATGCATAATTAACTGCATATATCTATAGGTTATTGGATACTTCGTGTATATACTACTTTCGTGTATGGATGCATATTTGGATACATAAAGGGCTACATAGTTACGCGTATGCATAGATACATGGTTGAATACAAGTATGGCTGCATCATTGGGTACATATCATCACGATGGTCGATGCATGGAATATTTGATAAGACTTATTACATGAACAAAATAATAATGTATGTAGAGGGAGATATGAATAACCTTACGCTCAAAGCAGAATGAATAATTAAAAAACGGGAACGGTTACGTTTTTGGACTCATTCATTCCACTATGAACGGGAGGTTATTCTTATTTTCCTCCATGTTGTGTCATTGAATGCAAAGATAGGCATCTCTTTGACTTTGAAGTTCTGGCAATTCGCAGGCTGCGGGACGTCATGACCGACCTGTGTCAGCTTCCGCTGCTTATTGGACACGCCACCTCCATGGCCACAATTCTGCTCACCTCCTACACCATACTTAACGTGAGATACCGGACAGATCCTCGGATGCAGGATCGTTTGTGAGCTCAGTCAACTTCGGCCGCACGGCAGTCAGACCTCCGGCCTCATCTTTAGCCTAACATGCATGTTGTCGAGGTGAGTGTAGCACGCACCTGCCCGTTTGAACGATGTGTGATTTGTTTCAAGGAGTTTGTTATGTCTTCGGATATTCTACCGCTCTCACCCACTGCAACCGTGCGGTGCCGACTGCGGACTGCACGAACACGAACCGTGTGTTCCGATGTTTGGTCACTGCCCACACCAATCAGTCCCGCGGTGCAATTTCGCCTACTCACTTCACTGAGCATAGGCATCAGTCCATGCATGGGTGCAACCATCACTAGGGTCGGTGGCGTTGGGACCTCAGTAACTTTTAGACAAGTTTTTAGCATTTTTGCAACATAAAATAGCGCTAAAACAGAATTGAACCCAAGTGATTCTTCAGGCGTGTTTCCGTCCATACAATCGTGCATTCCTGTTCGTCGAGCCAGCCCACAAGTGCAGATATTCGCACTCCTGTTCGTCGAGCGAGCCCAAAAGTGCAGATATTCGCACTCCTGTTCGTCGAGCGAGCCCACAAGTGCAGAGATTCGTACTCCTGTTCGTCGAGCGGGCCCACAAGTGCAGATGTTCGTAAGCAGACGTCCACGTCTAAATGTTCATGCGTCGTAACATTCGACGGCCTTCAGGTTTGTCGCTGTGATATTTGTCATGATACCCGCAGACGGTTACAAGCGGCTGTCGCATGTCGCATGGTAGGTGTCTGTAACCAGATACCCCTGTTGAGATGTTGGCCATTTTTACCCAAATGCATAAACATTTTAGTGCTCTCCTCATGACATCTCCAGTGACATTAACAGCCATATGTGGTCTGTATGCGCGTTAACAATGTGCGGCTGTACTAAGGTTTCACCAGAGAGACCGCCAGTGGGGTCAAAAACTGACCCACATCCCAGTGTTTGGAATGGCCTCCGAGCGCTCCGGGTTCCCCAATACTTAAGTGCCCGTCAGGCTATGAACTTGACACACTCCGATAGTGGAACGAATAAGGTGAGGTGAGATCACTGGGGTGTGACGTCATCAGTGAACACTTCTGGAAGGCGCTGCATCGCACTATATGTGGCTTCATGAGGCCATCATCAGAGATCAAGTGAAATCAAATGATTGGTTGGAACCTAAATGATTTGTGAAACCCATTTGGTAAAAATATTGACAAAACTGTCACGCTCCGAAACCGTTGACCTCCATAATTTGTGCAACTTGGAGAGCAAAACAGGCATATACCCAGTGAGGTGTCCCTACCGCGACACGACTTGACCTAATCGTTCCTCTCCCTGATCAAAATTCTGTTACGCCGCCGAAACGCAACACACCCCTCTGTTTGATGCCGGCTGCACAGCTGAACACCCAGTATTGTGGATGCCAAACGGCCCCGATGGCGCCTCGTGAGGCTGATGTCGCCTTAACGATTCTCATGTTGGACTGATCACAGCTATCGATTGGCCTGTGTTTTTTTAGATTTAGCAATTAGATCCAAAAATACCGGGAGAGTGACACCTTTCCCCGATTCCCTCCTGTTCCCAGGTGGCCGCGTTTGGAGAAATACTCCATTCGCCAGGTTGCTGAAGCTATTCGCAGTGCACTGTGCTTCAGGCTCAGATCGGCAATAGCGTTTAATTAACATTGTTTCTGATTTCCGATCTCATTAAAAGTGTCATTTAGCATGTCTAGTAGTTGCAGCATTCTGGCAATATACTAAGATACAGATTTCGTGTTTTTATATGAAATCAGAAAAGTGGCATGCGTATTTGCTTTGATGTTCAGGCTGTATATTTCGTGTTGCTATGTGGTCACGTGGTTTCAAAGCGGCCGCATCATATCACTCATGGAACGTGCCTGACCTACAGCACGTGCGCTTCCACAGAAAGCGTTCAAGGCTGACCATCAAGGCAGGGCCATGCAGCTGGCGTCCATGGGCAGTTACCTGTGTCTCTTCGTCTGCCGGATCACGTGCTATTCGTTGGACGGCTCCAGCATCATGGAGAAGGTCAGGCACGGACCGGGAGCCGGCTGTGAACGGGACGTGTACAGGACACCGGCCAGCAACCGCCCGAAATACGTATTCCCACATCTCATTCTGCATGTTCCGTCACCATAATTGTCCCCGACATTCGTGCTGTGAAAGAAAATTCCCCTCCCCCCCCCCATGAACCTTTTTTTGAGCGTCCGAACTACATGTTATGGAGCAACCGATCAGCTCATTGTACGCCAGCTCATTGCCCGGGATTTTGTTAAACACTTGAATGTGATGACGTCACTGCCGCGATATTGGGGGGACATGCAATGCAATAAAGGAGATAGGTATTGTGGCCACATATCATCAGTAATGGCCGTCTTTTGCGAGGGTTTGCGGTCACCGCGGTGACGCTCCCTGATGGTTCACGGCAACAGCGTTCGCTCAGTAAATCGCAGATGCAGTTGCTCAAAAATCATCTGGCGGCTGGTCAATGAACATCATATCCAGCTGTGTACACATAACTGCGTGGTTTTACGTAGACCTTAGTTGTGACAGAAGCGTGAGCAAAGCGCCAAATTTTGGGTGTCCGTTGAGCACATTTGCTTGAGTTCCATGACCGTGTGTCCTTCATGATTTGACTATATTTCCGCAGCGAGCACTTACATGCCGAGTTTTGACCAGCGCCGAATCAACACCCTCGAGCATTGATTTTGGCTCGGCGATGCAATTGTGGCGTGAAACGGAAACCAATGTTCGTTGGAAGATAAATATTCCCAGTAGCAACGAGAAAGGCCAGTTCCTAAAAAATCAAGCATTGCCAAATTGGAGAGCTTAAAAATGAGGTCGCATTGCTCCCGCACTGCGCCCGTGAAGAACCCCATGAATGGTGTAGGTTAGCAAGATAAGTTGAGGAGGATCTGGACAGTGAAGCAATGGTGAAGCCTTCTTCTAAATGCTCCAACACGCACTTTTCCGGATTTTTCCCACTTTTTTTCTCTAGCTAGGGGCTGTGGCCCAAGTTGAGGGAGAAGGGGGTGGGGAGGGGGTGGGGGGGGGGGGGGCTGTAGCACCATCAGCTAAATAGGAAACTTCTCTGAGGGCTGAAGTCGATTTTAAGTGTTGTGTGCTCATCACCTGGCAGAGATTCACCAGCATCATCAGAATTTCACGTCCCAGGATTACTAATTCTTTGCCTCTCAGCTGAGGAAAGGAACAAACCAACTTCAGTGTGCACCATGGATACAGGGTGCGTGCGCCGACTCTTCTGTCGCGGAGTCTCCCAACTGGCAATGCCTCGAGACTTGACCGCCAAACTTCAAACTCGCCATAGTCACCATGTGGATGACCGAAATGGAGCGAACGACGATCGACTACGACGCGGACCCCAAACCGATATTCCATCACGTTGATTTGCTTCAAGCGGGATCTCCCGCAAGATGGTTGCTCTGAAAATTACCACTCAGAAGTTTGTGTTTCTGTCTGTATGAAAGTCGATTTGTGTTCACCATACGCTGTCAGGTGCGACGCCCCGAAGTAACCGAACCGACCGTCAGGATGCCTTTCCGCTCGCGTGCGCCCGTGCGGTGAGCAGGCGGGAGCACCGACTTGGAAGCAGCGATCAGCACTGCGTGGCACGCGCCACGCAGCGCACTCCCGGGCCCCGTAAACTGTGTTGACAGGGGTGCAGGTGCCACTTGCATCCCGTAAACAGGGGTGCAGGTGGCACCGCAGCTCGGGCGGGCACATCCACCGCCGGCAATGTCGCCACCGACGCGGCGGCCCTGTGCCTGATGGGTGCGCGGTCGACAGGGGGCGCTCGGTGCGCTCCTGGCCCGATGGTATTGTTTTGGACCGGGGTAACTCCAGGGCGGCAACCCGTCGAGAAGAGACCGCGGGATGTGGCCAGTATACGTCTCACTGGCAGGGCCGCTCAGCACCGAGCGACCGGTGCCTCGAGTGTGCTTTGCGCTTCGCGCGAGTGCTCATTTTTGCACGGTTAGTGCTTTGGTGGTCTAAGAGGGCTTGCGGGTTCACTTCCCTGAGCAACGGAGCGGAATCCTTGAAACACTCAAATGATTAGAACTGCTGCATTCCGTTTGCGTTTTTAATTTTTACTTCCTCTGGCTGTATTCAGCCATATTAATTTTGCTGGCCAACCCGACATTTCGTAGCCGACAGCCCAGTAGAAACCGATTGGGGGGGGGGGGGGGAGCTAGATTGCAGTGCTATGCTTCAAGACAGAACGCATGTGAGCCATGAGAGATTATGTGACTCTGCAAGCCAGTATTCCATACAGAAACATGAGGTTGCACCGTGCAGAACTTTAACAAAAATAGGGCGCTGACAGCCTGCCCCATCCCCTTTCCTGGTCCTATTCGTATGCATGCTAGGACGTAGCTCTTGCTAAACACTTAAAAAACGCCACTTCCTCCGTTTCAAAGACTGACGTGAAATATTGTGAATAACATTAGTTAGGAAAACGTGGGGCGCCGTACTCTTACTCAAACATTCTACTGTGACCTGGAAAAGGTTCACATAGGTCAATAACCTAAATTTATTCTGAAGTTGAGATTCTGCTCAGATCGGTTCTGACAACATCCATGTCTGCCGCCAGGAAAAAGGAGCATTGCTCGCCAACATAGGCGGTGCCACTATCGGTGCCATTTCTTGCCCATAGGAAAAACAAATGGCACCGATAACCCACGTTGACATGTGTCAAGCACCCTCGGCTGATACGAATCGTGTTTATGCAGTTATGATAACATTTTGGAGAAATATGACCCAAAAGTAATTCCAACCACACTGTTTGAAGAAAAGCCATAGCCTTTGCCTCGGACAGCAAAAGGACCTGAGTAAATCTTGTTGATATTTGCGTGAGCTATCGAACGACACTTCGTTTGTCTCCAACTCTTCACAATCTGAGCATACCACGGGTAGGTAGTAGCCACACACGCTCGCCCGGGCGAAGCTGGGTCGGGCCACCATCGGTACACGGGATAATCAGGCAGGTCAGGTCAGGTCAGGTCAACGAGGCAGCGTTTGTATGTGGGGTACGGGTGCTCAAGTTCCGCAACTTACAAGTTGCAATAACCCAGTTTGCCAGTTATTTGTCAAGGTCTCTGAAAAGACAAAATGTCGCAACCTTTGTTGCATGGTTGTTGTCGTTGCTGATCAAGCCAACGGCTCTCCATCCTCAAATGATTTTAACCCTGTCTTTTGTTGCTTGTCCTCTTTGACGAGATCTGAGTGCTTTGAGGACCTAATGCGCCAAATCTCCCCTCGTGACATTACTTACTCACCGGCAGTTAAAGAGGCACACAGGTCACTTGCGTACGCCCCATACGCGATCAGTGTGTCAAAATCAACTGAACAAAATATGTAGCTCTTTCACAAAACGCGTGTCTACACATTCCTCCTGATCATTAAAGAGCGAGGACATTGGCACTTCCAGTTCATCTGGTTAGCTCGTTGTCGGCGGTACAGGACACCCAACGCGTAAAGGGTATGTCTGCGTACATCTCCGGAACGTGGTGTCGACCGAAAAGTAGGAGGCGACACGTCTATCAGTGGGAGTCAAATCTGACAAGGAGCAGTGTGAAGGTGTTAGCACCCTGCGCGGAAAGAAACCGTCTAGGTGAGTCGTCCGGCCACCCCGGCATCTTGCAACATCAAGAACACGACCAGCGCGTAACTCGGGCACGAGTTATACGCCACATAATGGTAGGGGTGCAAAACGCGTGCGAGCGTCTCACGCACGTATGTGACCTTATATTTCATTGAATTAACATATAATTACGTATATTTCCACGGGGGCACGTGTCGCCATCAGGTAGGTGCCCCCACCTTCCATTTGGCGGTCATAGTTTGAAGCGTTGCTAACCCGGAGCTGCCCAATCCGAAGCGACCCACGAGAGACCCGAGCGTGCCGGCCCCCGACCTCCGCTCGCACCGCCAGAACACGTTCACGCATTCGGCGGCAATGTTCCCACCGGCACGGCGTGTTGTTTCTCCGGCAGCGGTCCGAACGTCAACATATTTTTGTAGAGTGCCGAGGAGCGGCGTGAGGTGCGTACCAGGCGACACCGATCACCCGCTACAGGCATCACATCTGGCTGTTCCAAAGGGGCACCTGGCCGCACATTTTGGGTGGATTCAGACCCGGCCTTTTATTGCGGCGCGCCAGAAAAGGCTTGTGCGCGCCAAGATAGAAACAAACATCGGGCTCTACTTTTCTGGGCGAACGCATTGTATGCGGTATAAGTCTGCAAAGTGCGTGCTGAGCACGTTTTCAACTAAAGTGATTTTAAATCGGTTTAAGTATTTATGACACGGATCAGACGCAGGGAATGGTTGTCTTGTTTATTTCAAACTACACTTGGAAAACAAACCAAAGCTGTTGCCCGCTAAACGCTTGAAACACTTGCTGCTAACAATGCCAACTTGATTGGAAACGTCGAACAATGTCTCATTCAGTCACAAAATATTGGAACAACAGTTTTAATCACAACAAATTTCAATCATGACTTATGCACTACCCCTTCGAACGACATGTATGGAGGTTTTACACCTTCTTGTCCTTGACTTCCATCTACCAATACGAAAAACAAGAACATGCTTAAATGCCTGTTGCACGGCAATTGATGATATTATATAAAGCGTTCTGCAGGCGATATCTTCTTCGGTTATTATTCTAGATGGCCTTCTTGACCATTTCCTTATTAATGGCGTTTAACATGCAAACGTATGGACCCAGTCAGTGTTCCCATAATAGTAGAATGATATGATTATCGTAAGATAGAGAAGAGTAAATATTTTCCAGTGAAAACTTGATGAAAAAAAGGAAACAAGTCTTGAAAAAGCTTGCACCAAATTAAGAATTACATCAGGTGATATCTTCCACATTTGGAAGGTTATGAAGCAAACATCGAATGTAGTGAAACAGGCCCACTCATAACTAATGGTACGCTTTCTAATGGAAAAGGCTGCTCTAGACAACACAATTTCTCTGTTTAATAAATATGCTCTTTAATATGTCACTGGTTAATTACGTCATTGTGCCTTGCACAGCATCGATTGAGATGGATGTTATGTATGGAAATCGTGCTCACGACCGCCAGATAAGAACGACTCGATAATTATATTTGTCTCAGCCTCGATCATCGCATGTCTAGAATGACGTTATTGTGGCGTCATGGGTGCTTGGGTGACTTTGAAATAATCTCCCCCCGGAATATTCTGCACATCCTCGCGGGCGTGAAGCTCAGAAACTAAACGGGCATAGGTCTTGAGCAGGGCCAGGCTGTGAACTGCACTGAATGATTTTCAAGACGGCCTCTGTAGTTCAAGACCCCATAGAATCTTGGAGCACTCCCTTTAACAGTGTGAAGCATGAATGGAATCCAGATAGTATTGCTAATGCTATTGTAATATGTTGCTGTCAATACAGTGCCAGTTATCACCTCTTACATGAAGTACCGAAAGCGATGTGTCAAAATCGATGTCATACGTGCCTTACACCGCAACGTTATGAAAGGATGTTGAAAGACTTTATTTTTAGCCCACTTTTTCACTGTATATGTTGACAATCTACAACAGTTAGCTAAAAAGTGGTTTGTCATCCCTGCTTAAACGACACAACCTATATGCTTCAGGCATAAAACCGCATTTGTTCATAAAACATTTTCACTCAAGCTATTTTCTGAATGTCAGACTGACACGGTGCCGATTTCCTGTCGCCCAAAATGGCAAAAACCTTTGCGCAGCACTAAGTATTCACTGACTCAAATTAAGGTAGATATCAACAGGACAGAAATCGAAACAGGGAAGACACCTAATATATCGCAGAGGTATAGATGAATTGTTCTGCACAAGTTCCTAACGCCACACCGAAAAGGTGATAATTCGAAGCATAAGGTGCAAATAACCATTGTAGTTGAATCGCCCGTAAGACTCAATTATAACAGTCGACACAGAATTATCACTAGCAAAATACGGCATTTGGACAGAAAATAGGTTCCCTGCACCATGGCGCTAGCAATCTTCTTTATTCTAACCATTGTAGCCCTATTAGGGAATGAATTATGTCTCAATTGCGTCCCATTGTTGTTCCTCGGAAAAGAGCTGTGAGACTCATGGATCGCCTCTACCACAAGTGAGCTCAAAGCCAATCCTTAGAGAATGTCAGGTCGAAGACAATTTGCAGAAAATGTTTCATTGTTGATGTTAGGGCTGCTCCGTGCATGGGTACAATACGTGCAAATGCCATGTCAATGAACAATCATGGCTGGCATGCACGCGCCTGATTCTAAATGCTGGTTCCCTGTTATCCTCATGAAAACAAGATCCTGGATCCTGGCTCGGGCTGGCTCCTTCATAAACTCAAACCCTGGCTCTTGGATCCCATAAATTGCGTTGCAAGCACCGTACCCAGGTTTCTGATTCTCATTGGTTATTTTGTAAGCACAAGGTGAAGGTTTCTGGCTCACATTGGTTCCTGCAAAAATACCTAACCTAGATTTTGGTACATATAACCTTCCCATAAACGTCTAACTGTGGTTCCTAGTTCCCGCCGCTTCTGTCACAAACACCAGGCTTTGGTTCTGGTTCTAGATGCGTACTTGTTCCTGACAGAAATTCCAATTAAGATCCTGGCTGTTGCTGAATCCTTGGTTTTATAGTGGATCTTGGTTGTTGTTGGATATATTGGCAAAATCTAGATTGAGTCTTGGTTCTTATCGGATTATTATGCATATTCTAAGCCTAATTTGGACTTTTACCGGATCTCTGAGCTCAGCATCTTGGTGGATCCCGATTTCTGCTATCAGTGTTGAATGCTGGTTCCTGAGATAGTTCTGGTTTGAACCCAGATAGGTTCCAGCATCCCTCATATTTCTGGGACCAGATATTGATAGCTGGCTTCCATGAAAAAATCTTAGAAACCAGACGCATCTCTGATGGCTAGTAACTCTCGGCGCAATAAATCAAGTCGGAACTTTTTTGAGAATTTGTTTTGTGGAGCATGCATAACGATGGTTTTATGGACCTACAAATGCATCATTTGACGTCAGCAAAACACAGACATTTGCGCAGATATCATCTAGTGCAATCCTAGAATATGTGCAGCCTTGCTGACGTTTCCAGTGAGGGCAGGTGGCAGCAGTTTAACAAGCTGGACCGCGCTGCATTTCCGCACACCTTCGGTCAGTTGTGCGGTGGCTGTCCTATTCAACATCGCTAACGTTATTTACTGTTTTGTCAATGTATTGGTATTATTCTTAAATCATTGTTATCTCAGTGTTCTTGTAATTATTAGCCTCACGATTTTAGTTTTGCACCGCCTCTCTTTTCCATCTTTAGGAACATACTTCGTGTCTGTTATTGTATTTTCGGGTAAAGCGATTCACGGCATGACATTTGTAGGACACCACTACGCACCGTTATGTTTAATTAACGTGCAACAGCGAGAAAAATTGGTTCGACAGGTAATCGAATGATGTTATGCAAGACCACATAACACGCAATAACCTCGAAAGATCCTGCCCACGGTTTCAATTGAAGTGGTTGATGCCTGAGGCCAGTTCCAAAAACGCTAACGCGAACCAAGCTGTCTGCGAATTCCGCCGCGCGTGTAAACCGAAAACGTTCCAGCTTTACGTGGTACGATGGTGCGGGGTGTGCGTCCTCGCCCTCGCTGTCTTCCGAGCTCTACATCGGACTGGGTGCCGGGGGCGTCACGTGACCGCGGGTTTCCCGATTCGCCGGGGGTCAAGGGTTGGCCGCTGAGGCGGCGGCAGGGACCCGAGGCTCGCAGGTGCCAGTCGGTTTTTGAACGAGTCCAGGCGAATGCGCGCTGCGTTCTTTTACACTTCAACACGTTTTTAAAACCTAAAACGAACCACACCAGAACGTTTTAGTTGTATCCTATTCCCAGTGACATAAGAAGATCATCGTTGGTGAGATTTATATACTTCGGTTGAGCATGCGCGCGGGACAAGACTATCAAACGATGTATTGGTGCTGTGAAGAATTGGCTTTTGGTAGACAGATTCGGGTCTAAACGAGCTAAATGAGCTGAGTAATATATCTGAAACCATTTGGCATCCCACAGCCCCATACGCCGCCAACCCCCACTCCCACCCCGCTTGTTTGTTCTGCCCGGAGAACCGAAACCCAGCGCCAGTTTCAAGCAGTGCGATTTAGTGCACGAATGCTGCATCAGTAGGCCTCTTTTCGTGCTAAGCTGCCGACAGATTTCATACAATGCATTGACATCCTTTTTTCATGGGTTCTCACAAACTCTGGCTCCCTTCAGTAAGACTGCGGTAACATGAACATTGTGATGGCACACACGTTCATTGTCGCCTCTCTCTCTCTCTCTCTCTCTCTCTCTCTCTCTCTCTCTCTCTCTCTCTCTCTCTCTCTCTCTCTCTCTCTCTCTCTCTCTCTCTCTCTCTCTCTCTCTCTCTCTCTCTCTCTCTCTCTCTCTCTCTCCGACGCCACAGAGGCGTCTCACTGATGTTATGTAAGCTTGGATGATGTTGGGTGCCCTCCCAGCCTTGACGGCATTCGTTCTCACGTTCCACGTGGGTTTTATTTCTACAGCAATGATGCCAGATGGACCCACATATGCAAGCCGCTGCTTTTCAGAACGCGGCGCTGGCATCGTCACTCACGAAGCTGCGCTGGCCCGACATGACCAAGGCGGACAGACGACGGCGCGAGGCGCTGCTGCAGAAGACGAAGCTTCCCTTCGGCATCGATGTCATGGGTTTTTTCTCGGTCCAGAAAACAAACATTCTTTCGGTACGTTCTTGTGCAAACTGCTCTGCTTTTGTTGCGCGTGTACGCACATAAAAAGTTGATGTCGCGCTGAATGTCATACATTTATGCGCGCCGTGACACACACACGCTGTGCTAATACACACGATACACACGGTTGTGTGTGCTCATTTACTCACGAATGGGGGCACTATCATCGTCGCTTAGTGTTTGCAGTCAGCGACCATTTGAGGCGAAACATCCTATAACTGCTACTCAGAGTCCTTAGGTGTTTTCTAAATCGTATGGGTGTCTTAAGTTGCCAAAAATTATTGGGGCCTCCAGCTCCGGCAGAAACCGCTAGCTGCAGGGCTGGAAGAGGTATGGCCCACACTCCATTCTCATGGCTTTGCCACTGTTGCTGCGCTCATATTGCAGTGGCAGGTAGGCATTGTATTATCTGCGCAGTTAACACCGATTTCTCTTCGTTTCAGATTCTGAGCTTCGCTCTCACCTACTTTGTTATTCTTGTCCAGATGGGCGGCTCTGCGCTGCAGTGATGGCCATTCGGAGCATGTGGTGGTGGGGGTGCCCAGCGCGTGATGCCGAGGACGGCTTTGCTCCACCAAGCAGCGTTTGACCCCATGCATGTCGTTAATTAGTAGCTCGGCGCACATACACTTACGCTTCAGAAGACATGCACGCATCCATCGAGACGCTTCAACTTTTGGAGTAAATCTGGATGGTACGCAAATGCGTGAGCCATTTCACCTATACCAGGCGCGGAAGATTACAAAAGTTTTCAGAGGCGTGTTTTACGCGTAAACCCACGAAACAAAATGGCCGTGCGATCTGTAACGCAGATGCCGCATCCTTATCCATGTTCTCGCCTTCACTTCGCCGTGCCGACGAATTGTCAAGTCTGGAAATAATTGTCTTACATCACAGAGAGCTCCTGTGGGCGTCCCGATGTCTGGAGCATACTTCCGGCCATCTCCGCGCGATAAAAGTAAGAGGAATTTCCCAGGTATGCTATTTTGGCAAACAGTTTTGCAATATTTGGTCTACTACGACCGACAAGCTGAGTACGCGGGCCGTCAGTCACAGCCACAAAGTTGCATTGGACAGCCGGAGTCAATTGTGAACGTGTCTCGGGGGCCTCTGGTCACAAACACAAGCATGTCTAATTGTGTGCAATGTGGACACAATCCCCAGCGGACACCCCACTCTCAGCCGTCATCTTCGAGGCATGACGCCGAGGGGTGCTATTTTAACTCGAGGGTTCTGTGTGAGTGCGCTGATGTGGGTGTGAGTGGCCCCACCTGATACGCCTCCCCCCCCCCCCCCGTGTTCTGAGGCGAGCACGGCTGGCTCGGATCGCGGAAATCATGCGGCGCTGGCGGTGCGAGGTCAAGTGGTCGCGGCTCCCGCCTCCGCACGACTCGTCGATGACAGCGCACCGCTCGTCCGTCGCGCAGCAAACGGTCTGCCGTTCGTCCATCGCAGACAAGATTCGCAGTCAACGAGCCTACGTCCCAGAAGATCTGCCGCTTTTAGTCGAGATGTTCGATGGGCGTTCCGCAGACAACTGGCAAGAAGTCGAAACGGGGCTTGAGGCTGAATGATGTGCCGATGCGTTCCACTGCGCCAGACTACTGTCCCGTCAGCACCGGTGCTGGTGCTGGCCGGCTGCGCTGGCGGCCTTGCCCACGGAGCTGGTAGCGCAGCAAGGGGTGTCCAGACGCAAAGTCGACGCACAGTTTGCTGAATGTCTTTTGTCGACTGGTGTGTGACAACTTCCATTTTAGCGACATGAAAAAATGTTTAGTCAAAAATTGAAATTGAACACAGCGAAGTGCAATTCCATGTCATTCGCCCCCCGCACGCTATCTGTGCACTACTCATACGCACTAGACGGTCACCGCTTGGATAGCTGACAGCAGATTCGCGATCTTGGTGTCTTCCTGGACACCAAGCTCGCCTTTATCAGTCACAGAGATTCAATTGTCTCAAAAGCAAACAAGATGCTGAGCCTTCTCATACGAAGCGCGGAAATGCCGTCGTGCCCTCTTCAAGCGCGGTTCAATCACAATACTTTTCTTTGTGCCTTCAACGCTCGTGTGAGATCATTGATTGGGTACAGTAGTGTTATTTGGAGCGGTGCTGCCGATTCCCATCTCGTCCGGTTCGAAGGACTACAGCACAGTTTCTCATGTGGTTGGGTTCGTCTAGCCAGTCCCGGTGTCCTCCCTGCCATCAAAGGTCAACATTATTAAAAGAGGATTTGTCGTGTGTCTACCCGCTGTCGGCAAAATATAAAAATATATACGACACGAAAAGATCAAGAGGTGTTTGGCCTGCAGCTTCCGCACGTTTAAGATCTTGGTCTGGAACTTGGACGTTGTCATCGGGGAAAAGTCTTACGAATGCTTATCAAAATACATGACCCCAGTGCGGTATATCGGTGGTAGCATAGTGGTACCGGCATGTGGTATAGTGGTACCGGCATCGTAATAGCGATGGTCTGGTGCTGCTCTTTTTATGGTAGTCAGTATGACCAAACTGTATTCTTACAATATGTGTTCTATTCTGGTAAGCGACGTAGAACGCGACAATAGGGAGAGAGAGAGAGAGAGAGAGAGAGAGAGAGGAGAGAGAGAGAGAGAGAGAGAGAGAGAGAGAGAGAGAGAGAGAGAGAGAGAGAGAGAGAGGAGAGAGAGAGAGAGAGAGAGGAGAGAGAGAGAACGAGAGAGAGATATATGTGCATAACGTACATATGCATGTATTTATGTATATATACATATGTAATGTATATATTTATTTATGGTTATATGCATGTATATGTGTATATGTGTATATGTATATATATATATATATATATATATATATATATATATATATATATATGTATGTATGTATGTATGTCTATAGTCACTTTGGTACCGGGAAAATTATCAGCAGAAGAAAATTATCAGTACAGGTTTGGGCTGCAATGTGGTTTGTTGTAACCATGTGGTAAGCGTTTGACTGCGCATAATGTTATTGAATGAGGAATAGACTCATCATGTAGTATGTGATTAGCGAAGGGCCGGGAGGGGGCTAATTTCCGCGAATTGCACTGTATTCATTGCATGTGTGCTAAGACAGCTCTATATTGGGCTGCGTGTCGGTGTTTCCATTCCCCTATTTAACATATGAAAAAATTGGATTGTCCCTCTCGGCGGGCATCTTGCAAGAATGACAGCGTCGCTATGTGTACATATATGAACGAGGTATGTTCATATCAGTGTGTTAATGGCCCTCAGCTATGTTACTGCGTACACCACCACACTGGAAATACATTGTGGACGGTTTTTTGCCAGGGTGGGGAAAGTGCCGCCGATATTAACCATTTTGCATGAGTTTCGGCCTACAGCAATCTATTCCTACAACAAACAATAAATCAATCAATACCACAGACTCGGGGACGACGTCCAGCCCCGAAGATGGCGTAGAGAGAAACGTCCACAAAGCAGCGCTTATCGCAGTAACAAATTATCTAAGGCAACGTTTACGACGTCTGCACTATGACAAATTACCGAAAATACGTTTGGACTGATTGTGCTTATTAAACCCAATTTGCTGTTGAGATTGTTCTTTTGGGCATAGCAGCATGGTGTGGCGCACCGAACCATCATGTGCATGAATGTTTGAGTTTTGCTTTATCGTAGGCGAAATTTAAGACACGTTGATGTTCTTTTTTATTCATTCATGCTTTTAGGTGGTAGGCCATCGAACAGCGCCAACGGCATGGGCTGGTGAACAATAACGTGAATGAGCCGTCAATAAATTAAATAAACAAAAAAAAGTTAGAGATGACTGCTCAAGAAACGTGAGAAACATTCAATTAGTGGTGAATGCTCGAAACGTAACAAGTGCATGCCAACCGTTTTGAAATTTGATATCACGCTGGTGGCGTTTCCTGGAAAGGATGGACCTGGAATAATGCACAGCCGGAAGCTGTTCGCCGGTGGCGCCGTTCGGCATACGGTTCTAGGACAAGAAGAAGAAAAATCAGTTGACCTTTCGTCGTTTTGCCTTCTTGTCGACTGGTGAGTGGCGACTGCAAAATGGCCACGGCTGCATGGAGAACTGTAAAAGGGCAAAATGTTAAAAATCTGACACACCAATATGGCGAAAGTCTAGATGACAAAAGTCTGTGAAATGACGACATGTAATAAGTCGACATGCTTAATTGGCAAATGGCTACCTGGCGAACTTCACGTGCTTAGACGCCGACATGCCAGAACAGCGTACAACAAAAAGCACTGCTAAACGGTCCTGTTTGAATAAATGGTGACATGGAAAAACGGCGACACGACAAAATGTTTGCTGACTGGCTTCTGGCCCCACAAATTCGGATGGCGCATTGCCTACTAGAGGTAAGTATTCAGTGTCGATATATTGGAATGTGCAACCGAATATTTGAATCTGCCGAACATTCTTATGCCAGAATGAGCACTCGAATATTCTGAAACATCCAAATACTCAAATCGGGAGAGTACAAACTCAGCGCAGCACACAACTCACCCAAATGCGTCAGGCATATTCTACCAGCTTTCGAAGCAATACAAGCTTCCATGTACTCCGTGCCAGCTTCTGATCGTCAATAAGGCTGGCCGGTACTATAGCTGCATAGGGAATATCGACTCTAGGGCGACGCGGAGGCGGCGCAGCGTTACGTTGCGGAGGAGGTACATTCCCATCTATCACTCTCTGGATAGCCGCTTGTTGTTATACTGTTCGGGGGTCATGTATTTTGCACTTGTAAGACGGCTTACTAATAACAGCATCCATGTTTCAGGCCCAGGTCTCAAAGGCTCGGGAACTAAAGGGCAAAAACCTTCATAGCTTTTCTGCCGTGTTAATCGCCGCAGCTCGTGGGCGCCGGCCGGCGATACATGACGATGTAGCGTCTGAAGCTTTTCACCGTTGTCATACCATCCGGTGAAAGTATCTCCGAGCTAGACGTAAAAATATGCTTAAAACAGATGCTTGGCTTGCGTCTGCAGGTCTACAAATGAAGATCAAAACAAAAATTGGTCATTACTCTTCCGTCATTATTAAAAGCAAACTAAAGCGTATCTAATGCATTTAGCACCTGTGAAACCTGCAATCGTGGCACTGCCTGAATGGCTCAAGGTGGTGTTCTACATTTTAAGGCGTTTTGAGCTGAAATAGCTGTCTGAAAGGGCATGTTCCACCTTTAAAAATACTCAAGGAAGTATAAGTTACGATGAAACAAGCTCTAATGGTATAGTTCTAAGTGGAAAAGATCGCTCTAGACTGCGCAATCTCTGTTTAGTAAATATGCTCCTTAATGCGTCAGGATTTCATTACGTTATCCTATCTCGCACAACATCGATTGAGAGCCCATTGACGGCCGTTACACCCTGAAATCGCGCTCACGAATGCCAGATATGAACGCATCGACAATCATATTTTGCTTGGCCTTGATCACCGCATGGGTGGTGGAAAGCAGGATTTGAATGACGTCGGTATAACGTGAATGCCAAGGTGACTTTGAAATATTCTCCCCGAAATACCCTTCCCATTTTCACGAGTGTGTAGCTTAGAAACTAGGGGGGCTGAGGTCTTGAGAGCAGCAGGGTTGTGAACAGCATCGAAGGGTCTTTAAGACGGCGATTTTAGTTTAAAACTCCATATAAACGTGGACTATTCCCTATGAGGATAATTCGGTGCAGGTCACGGCCCTACACTCCTTACGACCTAAAAACCATTAGAGCTACATGCCTGCAAAGATGAGCAGACGTTTTCGTGGGGACTATTTCAATGTACGACCTAAAAACCATAAGAGCTACATGCCTGCAAATATGTGCAGACGTTTTCGCGGAGACTACTTCAATGTCACTCAGGCATGCATGACGTCATAGAAAGATCATTAAAATGCTGCCACCCCATTGGATTTGAAAGCTTTTTGACCTGAGACGACCGGTTAGCCGAGTCGGGTGCCTAGGATAAGCCGATCGGTCCACGGCCAGGCGGTTAGCTGGAAACCACTCTTGGTCAGTACGCCCCGACATTAATGGAGTTGATAATCGCTTGGCGTGGACTAGCAAGCGACCACGCGGCAGAGGGGAAGAGAGGTCTTAAAGATGCTGAAGAGCATGACACCGGCCGAGCGCGGCCGGAGGACACCGCCGAACAAAGAATAAGTCGCGTCTCACCACGTTCCGTCGTCCATCACTCAGTCCTGGAAAGGTGTCGGGCCAATCTCGGGCCAATGCTGCTGAATCAAAGGACACCATCGCCCATCCGGTCCATAGCTCCACTGAAATGAAAGGCAGTAGCCACGGCGACATGTGCGGCGACGACCCAACGAGGCAGACATCCGACGGCGTCTACCCAACTGTCTTCAGTGGAACGGCAAGGCCTAAACGCCCACGTGAAGGGGTAATAGATTGTGAGTCACGAGCTGAGCCGACAACTGACTCTGAGGTTGACCTAGATGTCGGTCATTGTTAGTGCTGTCAAGTATAGTTAGAAGCTGACAGTTGGCTTCAAGGCACTAAACCAAGAACATCTTCTTACATATTTCGGGAAACGCCGGTTAGGTGGGGACGGTCCAAACAATTTTTGAAAGCCTTTACGCTTTTACAATTTTTGAAAGCTTTTACGAGCGAGGGTTCGAGACCGGTGAGTTTTATAAGAGTGGTGAGAACATTCCTAGTCGGACGCTCCGTACTGGCGCAATTGTCACGCCTCAGCTCTCCGGCATTCCGCATCATTGCAACTATTAATCGTAATTTCACGCAGTTTCAGCAAAACTGGGCGACGCTCTGTGTGTATTTGGTTATTGACTCTAACCGAGGCACTTGGCTGCAACCTGTTTTTAACAGTCATGATTCTCCTACTGCGTTGTAATGTCAACATTATGTAGTACTTCCTATTATATATATATATATATATATATG